TTGTCTTAAATTGAACCTTTATGACTTCTGTGACATGTCCCCGAGAAATGACACGGCTTCAAAACTACACCTTGTATAAAAAAAAACAGTACTGGACGTGAAACTAGTTAAATCTTGTTCACACTGGGATTTTTTTCTCTTATATATCAGCCATTCACGTTCCAACTCACACATACACACATCACATGTTACGTTGAATGCAAGCAACAATTTATGCTACGCTACAATAAAACCATACAATAGGGAAGTTTACTTCTTATCCAATAGATATATAGACCATGTTACTGAAATCTAGACTTAAGTTTGCCATAGATATGGACACCTATTCATCTGAAATTGGGTACTTTCCTTAATCAAAAATAAATAATTTCGACTGTTTAATACAATACATTTTTTTGACTGCTGACCAAAACCACGGAACATCACTTTGTGTGATCCACAAATTGTTGTTCCGGGTCTGGGTGTCATGTGTATGTGAACTTGTACGTTTGTAAATGCACACATGACACAGGAGAAAATCCTAATCCTAACGATTTCTTTTTAAATAAAATATTACAAACTAATCACACTTTCATAATTGAGTTTACGACCAACTTAATTTTAGTATATTTCCAGCTAATTCTTAAGAAATAAGTACAGTAAAAAATCATTGACGTCACAATACACAATCTCGTACAAAATTCATAAAAAACGGTCGTTTTTGACAGTTCGAAAAAAGTATTGAATGGGGATGATGACAGGGTATGAAAATTAAAAATATAATTAGTCCGTAAGTTAGGTAATGAAAAAATATTACACACGTATGTTTTTATTTTGTCGTAAAATAAAACAATACTTAGATAAAACGAATCAAAGTTAAGGAGTGGGGGCTAAAACGTCATTTCTTAGTATAAAATGTACTGAGAAGTGACGTCACGAGACATTTCAAATCAATATATCTTCGAAACTATTCGTTTCTGTGAGAAAAGAAAAAATACGTGTCTAATGTTTTTAAATAATCTATCAGACGGACATTAAAATAAAAATTAGTCGTCTACCCTATTTGACTATAGTTGGCAAGTACATAATTGTTAATTTTTATACGTAGATTTCATTGTTATAGTTAATCAAAGTACCCATACGACCTTTTTATATTGTATGCTTGCATTCAACACAACTCCATCCATGCATCATACATATTTTAACGTTACTTACAAGATCTTTAGAACTATTTTATTTCTAGAGAGAACATCAGAGTCATGACGACTGGATGTGTATTGAATTATTATGTAACACATTTCAGGAAGCCATTCCCCTTAAAAAAACTGGCACAATAAAATGACGTGACGAAGAAATGGCGTGTCTATCGAGACATAAAATAGATCTGTAACCGTACCATACATACATACGTTCACACAGGACACAGACATACTTTACAATCTAGTTAAGTACTAATAGCTTACATTTGGCTTATTATTTTATGATACGTGTTAGAATATTTGTTAAGTAACTACACAACTATCTAGTAGGCAGATTGGAAAGTACTTACAATTTTTCGTTTATAAATATAGTTTAATATAGCCAATAAATTATTTTTTATTATAACTTTCCTAGCTTATATTTAATTTGCAATGTACGTACGATCAAAGGTCACAAGTTCACTGCCATCGACTACTATCGGTTGCGCTGCAGCGCTTATACACACATGCACGCGCATGTTTGTATCCGTGTGCGTACGCGTGCGTGTGTGTAAGCGTCCGCACGCGTTTTTATGCACATTCATATGAAATTACTTGCGCATTGCCGTGTGAACAGTGAATATCACTCACGGTGGCAGTGGACTTTTGCAACGGAATTTTGAAATAGATATCTCAACCGATTGAGATGAAATTTTGTATACACGTTTAGTTTGCATGACATTATATAATCAAACCGCATAAAACCTCGTTTTTAAAAAAGTATTTAATTTTATTTTTTTAGGTGGTTATTCGAATAAAGTATGTCGACTTAATTTTATTTTAGATTTTATATACCAAATTATATAAAATTTATAGCCAAATATTTTTTTCAAGAGTTTTTATTTCATGTCTATAAATATAGACGTTTATAATGCATTAGTAGTTACTCTTATCATTGGGAAATAAAGAAAAGGCAGTGAATAGGTGCCTTTATGATGCTTCGATATTATATCAAGAATATAGACTATTGTTCTTTTAGTTTATTACCTTTTTCTGCCAACACTGTTTTACTGAACTATAAAATAGAAATACGCGTTAAAATACAATTTCATTTTTTTTTAAATTCAAGAGTTCAATTTTTTTTAAATTTTTTATCTATGATTAGACCTTTATAGTGTTTGTTTTTTAAAAACTTTCTGTTTTGTGTTGTGAATTGAATTCTGACAATGTCGTGGTCGTCAATTCTGCCTTTTAAATTTCGATTCGGAAAGGTATGTTGTAGATTTAATCCTTTTTAGTTATTATTAGGATTTAAAAGTTAAATGAAAAAGTTAAAGGATGAAGAATTAAAAAAGTAGTCTCGACATTGATACTTACGACAAAATCAGTCGTTAAGTCGTGACTTTGTCTAATAGATTGCAACAAAAACTGCTAACTTAGTGATTAAGTAATTGGTCTCGTATCCAGTCGACATTTTCGACTTTAAAATTGTCATTGTCATGGAAACTTGCTTAGAAATATATTTTTTATGATAAGTAGATATTATTCAATCGAAAGTCGATGAGGCTAACACATTTATTTTTTGCAAAAACAAAAATCTATTTACGAATTTAGAAGGATGTACTTTTATAAACTATTTTGAATTTAAAATTACTTTTACGATGCATTCATTCTCAAACTGCTAAATGCGGAAAGTCTTATAATAGAAATAGCACAATTTTGCATTTCATACTATTTACATATAAATCAGGTTTGTTGGCCTCACTGTAATTTAATTACTTTATTACGACAATAAAATCGTAAAATCTTATTACTATTATAGTAATTAATTTTATTATTATATTAGGCTAGTTTTGCTGGCTATTTTACTTTTATTACATATTTACAGTTTTTTTTCTATTAAATCTTATTTACGAAAATAACAAAAATATATTCAGAAAGTGATTTTAATCGTGTAATGTTTTCTTTTATTTTGGAAAAGTGTAATTGTACTTGTTAAATTTAACATTCTCACAGGTTAAATATTTCTAGACATGTTTTGTATTTAATATAAACAGGGTGGGAAAGGAATCTTGGCATTTTTACACAAGTTAATTAATTTCCTTCGATTAAAATCACCTTTCTGCAATACTACACACAATTTCACGACACTCACTACACGACATAAAGCTACACATTCTTTTACTATTTTTTAATAACACGAATTATTAAAATTGAAAAATTTAGGGAGTCAAATCAATAATTGACTGGTAGGTTCAAAATTAAAAGGTGAAATAAATAAACAAAACAATAAAAAACCAAAATAAATGAAAAATAAACTTTAATAACGAAATGAAATGTAAATCACATTAAATGGAAATTTACATTTAAATATTACTCGTAGTATTGTCTTGCGCGCAGATTTTTCATTTCTTATTATTATAGTTACAATTATTATTATTTAATGATTAAATGTAAGTAATAATTATACCTTAAAATATACGTTGATTAAACAGTACTTAGAATTAAATGAATTTTAATAATTAAACACAATATTAAACGCTTATTATCTAATATTATTATCAGCCATGTACTTTTTAATTTTAATATGAAAGGTATATTAAGAATAAATTCTTATAATAATAGTATTATTGTGACGATTAATTAATTACAATAATTACGGTGCACTATTTTTAAATTATATTTTATAATGTGTATTAATTTTTAAACTTGATAAATACATTCATTTAAACGAATCAACGAAAATTTAATTTCAATCCTATTAAAAACTTCGACAAGGAATAATGAATTAATAAGTGATTTAGGTACATTTGTAAAACTAGTTCAGTTTTCATTGTACGATAAAATATAGGCTGGGAAATCAATCTATCCTGCAGTTGTAGCTAAATGCCACTTAACGCTTTATAAGTAGAACAGAAAACCAAATTATATGGAATTGACATACATTTTGACACTTGTTAGTGTCATCCCCATACATTTTGATTTCTACTCTCTCTGTAGACAAGCGCTAAAGTGGCGTTTGGCTAAAGGCACTGAACCGTCAAATGTCTTTATTACATCTTCAGCTTTATTATACAGACATAAAGTCGATAGTCCAATGAATAAATTTGACAAATTCGAGTAGGTTATCCTGCTGTTCCCCGTACTATTCCCGTCTCCCCTCTCTTCTGAATATACATGTTTAAATCTGCTTTATGCAATATTATAATTGAATAATACCTGTATAATTATATAACGAATCATACATACCATATTGCCATTTTGTGTCGCATAAATGTAAAATTTATGAAACCAAAAATAGTAGAAATAGAATTAACGAATCTTGTTGTCTAGTTTTGTGGCATTTCCAATATATCTAACGACCATACAGTAAACGATCTTGTTCCAATACATTTTGTAACATTAAAGGGCATTTTTTTACTTCATAACCTTTGAAATGATGTTCTAAGCTAAATAAGAAAAAAAGTCTCGACAATAATTACGACAAAACGATTACTAAGCCACAAATTCCATTATTAGATATTACTTTGATTACAAAAACGTTGTAGAATAAAAAAAATCGCAACTTAACGATCGAATTTTGTCGCTACAAATGTCGAGACTCACCCAGTTCATTTTTTTTAAATTATACATTCGATCTAGTTGTCTATTATTTGTGGTATTTCATATTTTATTACTTAGGTACAGACAGTCAGCCATTATATGGTATCCAAGGTTAAAAAAAGATTGACTCGGTAGGTACAGTTTTTCAGAAAGTTAGAATCAGTAATTATCACATATTTTTTTTTAAGTTATACATACGATCTTGTTGTTTATTATTTGTGGTGTTTTCTTCGTATTTGCTTACTGGAACGGGGTCCGGTCGCAGTTGCAGGCGGCGCCGCCCTGGCCCTGCCTGCATTGCACGTTGCACCATGCTGCCCACCCCTCATAGGTCGAAAGGACCCGTGATGATTGCAAGCTCACTGTAGCCTCTGTGCTTGATGATTCGCAGGTTGGGCAACCTGTACAGTTGGGGTGGAATTAAACTAAAAGTATTGTTAATATAACATTACAGAACATCACGCCTTTTATCCCCGAAGGGGTAGGCAGAGGTGCACTTTATGACACTGTACAATGTAACACCCACTTTTCATTCACTATTTGTGTTATGAGTCCCATGTAATAGAACGAGAGCCTATTGCCATATACCGGGCACAATTCCAGACTCCGTGCTACTACTACTGAGTTATTTTTATAAAAACCTAGTAATTTATGCCCGACCCGGGAATCGAACCCGAGACCCCTTGTACGGCAGTTGCACTTGCAACAACTCGCAACAACTAAAAGGCGTGATGTTATGTTGGTGTTATGTGTCGGTTAAAATAGATCATTAACGTCCAGTTTCTATAACCTATCTATCTGTAGATTTGCTTACTAGAGATAGAATTTTGACATGAGCTCCATACAAAATGTGTCAAAATTCTATCTCTAGTAAGCAAATCTACAGATGGATAGGTCATAGAAACTGGAGTTTAGTATTACTGATACTTACCACTAAGCGTGTACCCGTCGTAGCAGAAAGCCGCGCACACCTCGCTCCAGTTAACACCATGGTCGTGGTCCTTCGTGGTTGGTTTACAGTTGCATAATGGGGCCCCTGTTTGTTGTTATCAACATTATTAACTATGTTTTTGTAATAATTTCGACTGTACGGTTAGCGCGGTGACTGGGCAACTGGCTGCCGCGCAACGTGTAGCGGGTACGGATCCCGCAAGGAACAACTGTTTGTGTGATCCACAAATTGTTCCAAGTCTGGGTGTCATTGTGTATGTGAACTTGTATGTTTATAAACACACCCACGACACAGGAGAAAAGCCTAGTGTGGGGCAACGTTAAAAAAAAACTTGAGACATATTGAATTAACTAAAAATTACGAATAGAGCTTTTCTCAGTACATTCACGTGGGTAACTCGTTATTTGTTATCTGTTAGCGAGTTGTCTGTTATTCACAAAAGAACGGTTTTTTTATCGCCTTTATGTCTCACAGTCGGGCTTCCCAAATACCAAAAATCAGTTTAATTGTGTAATATTTTACCATTTTTGCCTCCAAACATAATTACTACTTAACATTTTTTTGTAAATATGCGTTTTTTTATATCATTCAAGGTCAACAGGAAAGTGTGATATAAAACACAGACTCAAAACTATATCGTCTACATTGAATACTATTAAAAGAACCAGTTAAATAAGATAAAACTCTTAAAAACTAAAATCACGTGACGACGCGTGATTTGAATCTAAGATTATAAGTTAAGTATTTTCCTTAATCATCAAAAAAAAAAAATCTGCAATACAAATAGAGAAGATATTTAATAATCACACTTTCATTCACTGCCCTTGTCGTCTTTTCATTATGTATCTAAAAGTTAATTAAAATCGCGGGCTACTCACGTGAATATACTGGGAAAAGCTCTACTAGTTTCGAACCACGGAGGGGTTCTTCCTCATGAGCAGCGTGCGCGGTCGCGGCGACGTCGCGCAGCTCACTCAGTGAGTGAGCTCACTCAGTGGATCGAAACTAGTAGAGCTTTTCTCAGTATATTCACGTGAGTACCCCGCGATTTTAGTTAATTTAGTATGTCTCACGATAGTTATTATAAAAACATATCTAAAAGTTCTTTTTAATACTACGTTGGTGGTAAAAAATGAACACGATCCACCTGATGGTAAGCGGTTACCGTGGCCTATGTACGCTTGCAACATACGGGGCATTACATGCGTCTTGCCTTAAGTTGAATGCCTTGCCCAATGCCAACAACACACAGTAGTAACTCCTTTAGTCTTACGGGTTTCTATGGGTAGCGCTGATTGCTTACCATCAGGTGATCCGTCCTATGGTTCGCCGACATATACACTAAGAAAGCTGTTAACAAATGCTTACCAAGTTGATTCTGGCACAATGCAGGACAGACATTGTATCGTGGCACTCCGTACGTGACGTCACTCCGGTTTGCGTCTCTTAGAGCCGTCTGCAGCCCTATGGGGATCAGCTGGGAACAGATGCTCACTCCACAGGCCTCTCCACCAAGTCCTAGAGAGAAATTAATTGTTTTAGACATCAAAAATAATAATTAAAGTACCTAGCGACAAATACTGAAGATCGACTTGAATGATACAATCGGCTGAGTTTATTTATTTTATGTAGATATTTACTGTTATAACGTCGAAGATAGCACAGTTTGTGTCATGTGACGGACATTGTGAATGAAGCTAGGCACTCGTTCCAAAATGTAGATTCGAATGGAGAAGAACGAACAAGATAATCCATCGTTAGTCTTTATCAAAAACATATTAATAAGCATTTGCCATTTTTGTAAAAATATACCAAGAATTTATAAATCAGAATGAATTTAAAGCCCAATAGGGCTGATGCCGATACGAAGCCGTGGCAGACTTAACGGGTTACCGGGGCTCCGGCTCGAAGTGCAGGAGTAAGAACGGGGTGGTTTTTAGTCAGTAAGAGTCTGACAGTCCCCTTTCCGTACTCGGGCAGGAGAAGTCTATAGACGATTTTCCCCAGTAAAAAAAAAAGAAAAAGTGGCCCCAGTTCTTTGCTCCCAAGTGTATTTTTTATGGAATAAGCCGGTAAACGAGCTGACTGATCACTTAAACTGTCAAACACCAAGCGGTCACCGGTGACCGCGACCCATTGTTCTTCAATTGTGTCTATAAAACCGGTACTCGACGAGTTAATGGTAAGCGATCGGCGTCACCCATGGACACCTGGAACACCAGAGATGTTACAAGTGTGTTACCGGCGTTATTTTAAGGATTAGGAATTTGAGGATTATTGGGGCTTCAGGGATTGCGGAGATCGGTGATTAATGAGGGGGGAGGGCCTTTGGTAACCTCACTCACCGGACGAGATACAACGCTTGCGGTGTTTCACGTCGGTTTTCTGTAAGGCCGTGGTATTAGTCCGTTCGAGCCGGCCTAAGCATGGCTCTCCCACGCTTAAAACAACATAACATAACATAACATTGCTTAAAACAAATCTAATACAAATGTCATCAAACCGGTCAAGAGCCATAGTTTATGATACTATGACACTTGTATTTAATAGACACACGTGACCGCCATAGCAATCTATGACGGCATCAGCTGATCGCTTATATATCAAACGAGTTTATGTTTTTAATGCGATCTTGACACTGAGCTTCTGGATTCGATGCACGTGTCTGACAAATTGTTCGTTGTTTTTTATTATGCAAATGCTAAATTGTTTTTTTTTCAAACGGTTTTATTTTATTTAGTTTGTTTGTGTCGATAAAGAGATCGAGAGATAAATGTCTTTTAGTTTTTTAATATGAGTGTTACGTACAGAATGCACGTAAGATATTATGGAAGAAATAAGTACAGTCAGGGTTCAGCCACTACACACATATCAACAGCCTATAAATGTCCACTGCTGAGCAAAGCCTCTTCTCACACGGAGAAGGTTTGAGCATTAATCACCACGTTTACTCAATGCGGGTTGGCGATTTGAAGCTTATAATTAGAAATTATAAGCCGAGGGTTCCTCACGATGTGTTCCTTCACCGTTTGTCAATGGTGTCCAGATAATCTTAAAAAGTATATATAACTCAGAAAAAGACACATTGGGACTTGCCGTTGATAGGTTTCTAACCCACACCCTCATGCATGAGAGGCGGGCGTCTTAAACCTTCGGGCCACCACGACATTTACGTTCTGCCATTACGGCATACAAATTAATATAGTAATTATACAGAAAAATTAAATAAATAAGGACATTTTCCCCTCTATGATTCGTAACTAGTAGAGCTTTTCTCAGTAACTATATTCACGTGAGTAACCCGCGATTTTTAGTTAACCGAATACCTCTGGTTCAGCAGTGGTACTTGCGACTAACTAAATCACCGAGGCCGAGGCAGTAATTGAATTTAGAATAGCAATGATGACAGGGTATGAAAATTAAAAATGTAATTAGTCCGTAAGTTAGGTAATGAAAAAATATTAGACACGTATTTTTATATTTTGTTGTTGTATCATCATCAACAGCATATAAATGCCCACTGCTGAGCAAAGCCTCTTCTCACACGGAGAAGGTGTTGTTGTATAATAAAATGATACTTAGATACAACGAATCAAATTTTAGGAATGGGGGCTAAAACGTCATTTCTACGTATAAAATGTACATAGAAGTGACGTCACACGACATTTCAAATCAATGTATCTTCGAAACTATACGTTTCCGTAAATAATAAAAAATACGTGTCTAATGTTTTTAAATAGTCTACCAGACGGACATTAAAATAAAATTTAGTCATCTACCCTATTGTAAAATAATCATGGGATTGTGTTGATAGTGTACTATATAATTAAATAGGCCACGTAATGTTTCTATAATGCAGTATTTTTTATAGTTCTTTGTTTCTCAGTTTAACTGGCTGATAGTGGTGTAGTAGACAATGATATTATAAATAATAAAAAGAGGTAGATATCGCACTGGCACGCAAAAATTGGACTTAATCGTCAACTGGCGAGCGCGAATCTCGCGAGCGCGCGCGAGTTGGCACTTTTCGATTTTGCCTACTTTTTTTGTCGTCAACTCGCGCGTCTATATAATTTGATGTTTTAATGTATAGTCAGCTACAAAAGCGTTATAACAAATTTAATTTAGTTAGGTACTTACCTACTATAAATGTATAAGAAACTTTATGAAATTTTATTTTTAAAATAAAACAAAATATACATCGTTTTGAAATCAGTTTATTATAAATCAACAGGACAAAATATAAATTATTAGTAGTATTTCCCTTACTAATTATCAACAATATCACATTGATTTGAGAATTTGGCTTATTATCTTATTATCTAGTATGTAAATTGTAAAAAACTAAGTAAATAAAATAGAAACAACGAAAACACTCTCCTCACATACTCGTATACAAAATTATATGTGAGGAGATTTTCGATAAATCTCATAATATAAATAATTTAAACCGTACTGAATATTGGTAAATATAAAATAGTAAAGTTAAACATAGTAATTGACAACTAACTGACTTATTATTGCTCACTAATAAAATCAATCTTAGGAACCATAGAAAGAGTCTTAGAAACTATAAAATCACAGATCAGATATGGTTGTAAATGATTTTTACAAAAAACGCTAAACACTATCTATAAGTAGATTCATCAATTGGCTAAGTTATTACTGACGAACTACTAATAAAAGATTGATTTTATTAGTGAGCAATAATAAGTCAGTTAGTTGTCAATTACTATGTTTAACTTTACTATTTTATATTTACCAATATTCAGTAAATCTCCTCACATATAATTTTGTATACGAGTATGCGAGGGGAGTGTTTTCGTTGTTTCTATTTTATTTACTTAGTTTTTTACAATTTACATACTAGATAATAAGATAATAAGCCAAATTCTCAAATCAATGTGATATTGTTGATAATTAGTAAGGGAAATACTACTAATAATTTATATTTTGTCCTGTTGATTTATAATAAACTGATTTCAAAACGATGTATATTTTGTTTTATTTTAAAAATAAAATTTCATAAAGTTTCTTATACATTTATAGTAGGTAAGTACCTAACTAAATTAAATTTGTTATAACGCTTTTGTAGCTGACTATACATTAAAACATCAAATTATATAGACGCGCGAGTTGACGACAAAAAAAGTAGGCAAAATCGAAAAGTGCCAACTCGCGCGCGCTCGCGAGATTCGCGCTCGCCAGTTGACGATTAAGTCAAAAATTGTTGCGAACGAATTCAGACAATTGTCGTAATTTTATAATAGCTATCTCTTTCTGTACCATACTTTCCGTATTATCTGTCGCACGTAGTTGAAAATGACATTTAAGTACATTTGTAATAAGAACGCAACAATTTTTGGTCGCCGCTTAGTATGAACATAGCGTATCTTCTTTATAATATCATTGGTAGTAGACTATTTAGTAACACTATTCAAAATGGATAAGTGGTCGGTATTAAAACGTGGCTATTGAGAATATAATTTTAATTATTCTTTTGTGTATTTTTGTAAGGGTTTTTTGTGTGATTTATACTACAATGTAATTTATGAATATGAAGACATTCAAATACAATGTTAATTGATTAATGACGTTCAGATACGATTTCACAACTTGATTCCCTCTAGTTAGTTCCATCATCGTACCACAAGACAATCGGTGAAGCATCACCGATTCATGGTAGATGTCCCACCCTCAACCCCACCGTCAAGCTTCCTTGTGCGTACTGCTAAAGGAAAGGAATTCTTTGCCAAAGTCTGTGTTTCCTGAAGGGTATACATATTATGCTTCTCTCGGTTGTCTTCTTTGAAATAAGTTTCATTCTAGCTTTACCTGTGATATTTATGGGAAAGAAGTGTGTTGTGATTTTTTTTTCATTTCACATTCTATATTTTGTCTTCTACGGACTTTTGGCGGTCCACGGCCACAGGTGGGGAACCACTGCTATGGAACAAGGGTATTCTGTTCTCCAATTAAATACCTAGAGGTTTAGACTATATAGGGGTTTTTTTTTTCGATTTGAATTAGCAAAAGCTGCTTTACTCATTATGTATTCTGCTTACTCACGTAACTATTTAAGGAGGAATTCGACTAGTTCGAAGCCATGCTAGAGGCTCATATTCATGAGCAGTGCTACAGTCGTCGCGTCGCGTGTCGTGGGTTGCTGCTATTATTTTAATAAAATCACTATGTACCTCGAAGTCTAGATATTAACCACGTGGAACAGGGTAAGCCATCGGTCTGAGTTGTCATACAAACATCTATAACTGTTATAGTAGCTAATAGGAAGTAAGGAAATGGCAACAGCTTACAAAGGGATCTAACCAAGAAGGTGTCTCACTTAGAGGATTGTGGATGACACACCTCAGGCGCTACATGTAGGTACAATATTAGCAAACAGGAGCTGGTGACAATCAAGTGTCTATAACCTCGATGGGATTAAGCCTCATTGTTTTTTAATTAAAAAAAAAACAATGAGGCCTAGTCACTTAATTATTTAATAATTTGCTTAATTATTTAGATCCAGATCTTTCTTCTTTTGAATTTTACTATATAAAACCATATTTTATATAGTACATGTTATGGTTTGAATTCCGGTCTAACAATTTCGGCGGAGTTCAGTTTTGTCATACCACGAACCTAGGCCAGCAGCAGTACGAATCATTCAAAATAACTCGTCGTTTAGTCGTTAAAATATCTGTATCTAGAAACTGATTTAATTAAAAAATGTGACAACAATTGACAAAAATCAGTACTTACCTTTCATAACCCAGCACACCAACAAAAAACAGAAAAAAACTAAATAAAATAAACAAACACACACACAGACACGAAACGTCACATCACGAAAACCAACATGGCCGCGTGCCGCGTAAACAAACCGCGCGCTTTTTACGAGGCAAAGGACACAAGCTATACAGCCAAGTAACAACCTGCGTGGCACAAGTCCGCACACAAGTTGCTTCGGGCAGACACTGAAGGCACCCACGCTTTCGAATCCTTTCGGAACTGCGTCAAATATATCCTATTCAGTTCCCCTTTATCATATTTCAATTGTAAAACCACCTCGGGAACATCTACCCGTCTCTGTTCAACATTATTTTCTTGCGATGCGATTGGTCCGTCATCGGGGGAGGTGCTCTCTGATTCGTCGGCTGAGATCTCTGCTACCCCTATAATGATCACGCCCAGTACGAGGGTGAATATTTTCATTTTTATTATCTGAAAGCAAAAGGTTTTTTAAGTTAGTTTTTGCTGAGATTAAAGTTACGGTTCAGTTAAGTTTTTCAATTCCAAAGCTTTGTCTTACAACCTAGATATTTAAAAGGAAATCTTCTTTTGTCATTTTCTTTGTAATGAAAATATCAGTTCGGTCAAGTGAGAATAAAATGCGCGTTTCTTGCGAAGTAAAAATGCATGCAGTTGTTTTAAAAACCATATAATATTAATAATAGTATAAAACAAAGTCGTTATCCGCCGTCTGTCTGTCCCTATGTTTGCTTAGATCTTTAAAACGACGGAACGGATTTTGATGCGGTTTTTTTAAAGATAGAGTGATTCTTATGGAAGGTTTATATGTATAATACATGCATATTGCACCCGTGCGAAGCCGGGGCGGGTCGCTAGTATAACATAAAGATAAACAATAAGATATAAACAGTAACGTTTGGCGACCCATTCAAGTTGTTATTCTAACGGTAAGTACCTATGGGCAAAAATAATAAAACCTATTTAATTGGGCAATCCCAGATTATTCAATAGAAATGTGTGAGCCAATATTGAACAACTTCTGGCACCCTATTTTGAGCAACATCCGAAAAAGAAATGACATGACCTAGGCATTGTTTTACTCGTACCTATATTATCAACGGCTGGACTGGCTTATTATAATTTCTGAGCTTGAGAAGCATACATACATACATACTTAACTTCACGCCTGTTTCCCATGGGGGTAGGCAGAGACTATAGAACGCCAATTGCTACGATTCTTATATACCTATCGTGAGACATACTAAATTAACTAAAATCGCGGGTTACTCACGTGAATATACTGAGAAAAGCTCTACTAGTTTCGAACCACAGAGAGGTTCTTACTCATGAGCAGCGTAAACGGTCGCGGCGATGTCACGCACTACGCCTATGGATCTGCGATGTTTAGTTAATTATAAAAAAAATCTTACGATACTTATTATTAAAAAAGGAGGTATTTGGAAAGTTTTTAAAATCGATCCTAATCGATATGTTTTGGAGTTATGATATAAAATGTGCCATTTAGTTATCTCAAGCAAAAACCAAATGCGTTTCATATCGGAGTGACATTGACATATTTATCTCATCAATGTCGAGACTTGATAAGCGTAATTAAATTTTATTAATTCACCATTACTTGTTTTGGTGCCTAGGTACTTCATTTATGATACGAAAATCTATAAGTAAACAAAAAAAATATCTGGCTGCTCCAACAACTCAGAAATGGTTTTCAAAGTACCTAGTCATTCTTAATTATTGAAGGACTAATTAAAAGAACAATTACATTCTTAAACTGTCAAACACCAAGCGGTCACCGGTGACCGCAACCTATTGTTCTTTAATTGTGTCTATAAATACGGTACTCGACGAGTTAAGTAATTTTTAACTACCAACAAAAACTCATCAATCATCATCATCATCATCAACAGCCTATAATTGCCCACTGTTGAGCAAAGCCTCTTCTCACACTCCGAAGGTTTGAGCATTAATCACCACACTTGCTCAATGTGGGTAGGCGATTACAAACTTATAATTAGTAAAATAGAAATTATAAGCCCAAGTTTTCTCACGATGTTTTCCTTCACCGTTTGTCAGTGGTGTCTAGACAATCTTAGAAGGTACATATAACTTGGTAAAGTCACATTGGTACTTGCCGTTGGTATGTTTCGTACCCTCACCCTCATGCATGAGAAGCGGGCGTCTTAAAACTCTGGGTCACCACGATATCGGTGTACACTTATTATTTGCCAATTTGTAATTGAACATAGATACGTTCTGTTACATACTGTTGTACAGAGTCTAACAGAGGACAAGCCACCAAGAACTAAATAAAATTTCAAGCCTACAGAAGCCTACTTAGGTATAATTATCAAACCCTAGTTAACAACAAAGCCGTAATAATCCAAAACGCCCATCAAATTCCAATCTATCATCTCAACATACAACAATCAATACTAACCACCTCATCTGTCTACCCCCTTCGCCCATACAACCTTAATTATACCTTCAAACTTTGCTGAGCGAAAATCTATACACCCTGTAGTGCGCTAGACAGAGAGAGATATAGAGCCTTTGTATGAAAGAGAGGTGTGAGGGACAGGGATGGAGCATCCGGTATTGATCTATACTGTTATGTAACTGTGCTTATATACTTTACTTTATGTACTAGTGTGGGTAAGGATGCACTCATACTGAAGTAAAAAATGTTTATAAAACCTCATTTGGTCCCCCGAGTGGCAAGGCAAGGGGTCTCTGTTTCAATTCCCGGATCGGGCAAAGTATTATTAGATTCCTTTTTAAAATTTCTCAGTAGTAGCACAGAGTCTGGAATTGTGCCCGGTATATAGCAACAGGCTCACCCCCTATTACATGGGACTCATAACATAAATAGTGAAAGGTGGGTGTTACATTGTACAGTGGCATTAAGTGCCGTAACGTCCACCTCTGCCTACCCCTCCGGGGATAAAAGGCGTAACATTTGTAATAAAAAAAACCTGTTTAACATATGTTTTACAAATGTTAGTTTTCAACACCAGTGTGCAAGCGTCGTAATGATGAAGGAAAATGTCTATGTACGTCTGTGTGTATTAATTTACTATGTACGATAGTAAATTGAATAGCTATCAGTATTATGACAAAGTAACATTATTACCGCACGAACTAATAAGTGGTCGGAATTTCGATTGTTCGTAGGATAAGTATAACGTAACATCATGCCTTTAATCCTCGAAAGGTAGGCAGAGGTGCACATTACGGCACTTAATGCCACTGTACAATGTAATACCCACTTTTTACTATTAATGTTATGAGTCCCATGTAATACTCTGGCTCTGTGCTACTACTGAGAATTAAAAAAAAAACTTTGCCAGTAATACTTTGCTCGACCTGGGAATCGAACCCGACACCCCTTGCCCGGCAGTCACACTTGCGACCACTCGGCCAACGAGGATTTTCTCCTGTATCGCGTGTGCGTTCAAAAACATACAAGTTCACATACACATGACACACAGACCCGGAACAACAATCTGTGGACCACACAAAGAGTTGTTCCGTGCGGGAATCGAACCCGCGACACTTTGCTCAACAGCAGGTTGCCCAGTCACCGCATTATTTATATTATAATAAATGAATAATTTAAATATACCTCTACGTACAGACATTAAAATTAGGTTAAAAATATATTTTGTGACACACTTCAGTGTTTTCAAAATATCTGAACATGCAGTTTAATTGGAGACAACAAAAACTATATAACGAAAAAACTATTAAATTCAATATCATTACTAATAGACTGGATGTGGGTCTGATACAAAGTACCTCTATACTTGCACAACCAACTTCAAAAGCGGCTAAACGATTGTACACAATGATAAAAATTGTCCAAGAGTAATCAGTACCTAGTTATTTACTTTAATGTGTTCAATTAATATAATTAAAGTACCTACATAGATATATACATAAGTACCTAATGTGAAACTGTAATTTAAGTCATGTGCTCATTTTAGAATAAGGTACGATGGGGTTGGCATATCCTTAAGGGATAAAAACCCCAATAATACATTTATTTATATATAAGTAAATAAAGATTTAAAAAAAAAATATCATTACTATTAAAACTATGTAGGTAATCTAATAGAATCCTCGTAGTATTTAATTGTTATTGGTCAACTGTACGTATTACTAATTAATTAATTTAATAGACTATACTATAATATTAAATATATGAATGATACTCACAGTTGATGCAGCTGTATAACTTGTCACAGTTTATGTTGCCTAATAAACCTGGCTCCCGTTGTCCGCCATTACGCTTTCAAGTGGTTGCCATAGAGTAGTGTAGATAGCAGAGACGTAATACAACCTATCATGATTTGCTTGCTTCGGCCGACTCGATCGGAGTGATACCACGGCCTCACCGAAAACCGACCGTGAAACAACGCTTGCGTTGTGTTTCGTCGTGTGATTGAGGTTACCGGAGGCCTAATTACCTCCTCCCCAATCCCCAAATCAACAATGCTCAAATCTGTAACGTCCAAAATACCGGCAACGCATTTATAACTTCTCCGGTGTTGCGGGTGTCCATGGATGGCGCGGATTGTTTACCTTTAGATGATCCGTCTGTTTGTTTGTCAACCTATCTTATAAAAAAACTAGCGACTCGCTCCTTCGCACGGGTGCAATATGCATGTATTATACTTACATAAACATCATCGCTTACTATCAGGTGAGATAGTGGTCAAACGTCGCCCAATCAAATATAAAAAAAAATAAACCTTTCTTAAAAATAACTCTATCTCTTAAAAAACTGCATCAAAATCCGTTGCGTAGTTATAAAGATCTAAGCATACATAGGGACAGACAGACGGTGGATAGCGACTTTGTTTTATACTATGTAGTGATAAATAAAAAAGTGAAAGTAAACAAGTGCTAAATAGTCGCGGAGAACCTAACGGGTAACCGGGGCTCCGGCTCGACGTGCAGGAGAAGGAACGGGGTGGTTTTTAGTCAGTAAGAGTTTGACACTCCCTCCCGCCTCACCCAGGCGGAAGCAGGCATTCGATGATTTTCCTCCCTTAAAAAAAAAAAAGAAAAAAAAGCAAAGAAAGTTTGAAAGACTTTCTGTTTACATTACAAGTTGTATGCATCGACGTTATAAACGAAAACGATTACAGACACCCGCGCAATCGATTGATCATTCGCTTCTGTCAGCTAAACGTTTTATAAAACAAGTGTATAGACTCTTACTGACTAAAATCCATCCCGATCCTTCTATCCGTCGAGCCAGAGCCCCGGTAACCCGTTAGGTTCTCCGCGACTCCGAATCGGCATCGGCCCTGTTGAGCCCCATCTGTGGTGGTCTGATGGCTCTTTGAGGCAAACTTTCTTTGCTTAGGCACATACTTTAGAATTATCTTAAAATCGCCCCTGTCGGTTCCCAGGGTCTCAATATGATAGTAACAATT